CCATGACCTCATTGTAACCCGATCAACCCAACAAAACCCCACAGTCACATTTGGAGACACTAGGTGTTAGGACTTTAATAGCCATTTTCATCCCTTAACACGAGATTATCTTGCTTCATCACTGTATTGTAGTGATGGGATGGCACTGGGTCAGTGACACAGCCCGTGGGCCAGGAATCTCCATGACTGGTGGTCTCCAAGGACAGGACATGCAGATAGCAGCACCATCTTGCCACTGCATAGAACTAAACATTCTTCATGAGTATCTTGATGCTCTATCATCTCAGTGGGTGTGTTCCAGCAGCGTTGTCTCCCCTGGACTCCAGAGCACCAACCTGCTATCTTTTCTGTGATCCCAAGAGCTGGGTTAGGTGAGCAGCTTTCCCTGGGATTCCAAAATGTGTCCCACCTTGGGTCTCTGTTTGTTTGTATTCCTGCTGTCTCCTCTGGCAGGGCATCTGTTGTCTTGGTGCTTCTTCCTTGGCGTCTCTTCTGGGTTTTCTCTGCACACTTGCACTTTTCTGAGTAAGGCCTAGGGTATGCTGGGATGCTGAGGGCCACTCTGGCACATGCCCTCCTCTGTCTGCACTGGCCTGTAAGTTAAGGTAAAAAGTCACAAACCCTGTCTTCCAGAGACAAGGTCACAATGGCAGTACAGTGACAGTGGCCACATTTTAGGAAGGCCTCTGTGACCAAGCCTCATGACAATCTCTTCATAACCCTCATCTCTGCTCATAACCATGAGGTGTTAGAATGCACTCCATTTGTAAGTGAAGAAATCAAGAGGTTGAAATACTGATTAAGAGAAAACATATCTGAAACATATCTAAAATAAAGGGAACCACTCAATACAAAATGGGCATAGATGGATCCCTCTGTGTGTGTGTGTGTGTGTGTGTGTCTGTCTCTCTTAAATAGACACATGGAACACTGAGCCTCATTGTCAATTAGGGATGGGCAAGTTAGCTGACACCCCTGCACACCACTGGCACAGACATCATAAAAAAAGACAGTAACATTTGTTCAGAGGGTATGGGGCAAGTAGACCCATTCACTACTTATGGGAATGTGAAATGGTACAAGTGGTGTGGAAAGAGCTTGATGGCCCCGTGAGGAAGTAGACACGCTCACCACATTACTCTGCAGGTCCAACTCTAGGAATCTGTGAGGTGTAGAATGCAGGTTTTTTCCTCGCCAGTAGCCTGAGCTCTGCCGCGTTGCAGTCCCCCATATAACACACAGGACGCTATATTAATTATGAAGCTGTTGGCAGTTTGTTTGGTTTCCTACTGGCTAGCTCTGACTTAAGTATTTAACCCGTAATTGTTAATCTAAGTATTTCTCTTACCAGAGAAAAGGGTCCGGACCTCTTACTCCTATGGTGGCTACATGGTGCCTCCCTGTGTCTTTCTTTCCCAGAATCCTCCTTGACTCCTAGTCCCACCTATCTTGTTTCCCTTTTGGCCAACAGTGCTTTATTCAAACCAATCAGACACATGTTTACAGAATGACATCTCCCAAAAGTGAGGGAAGTGGAGGCAAGCCTACACAGACTTGCCTGTCGACGCTCAAGGCAGTTTATCCCAGCCCAACGTGGCTGCATCCAGGAGGTGAACAGACAAACACAGCTTACTGTCTCACTCAGTGGGATGCTACTCAGTACCAAACAGAATGAGACATGTAGCCTGATGAGCCTCAAGGACATTCTAAGTGAAAGAAGCCAGACATAGAGGATTACATATCATATTATCCCATTTATGTGGAAATTTCCAGAAAAGGCAAAACCGTAGAGACAGGAAGCAGGTTAGTTAGTGGCTGCCTGGAACTGGAGGTGGAACTGGGGGAATGGGATGATTCTGAAACTGAACGGTGGTGACATTTACGTGCCTGTGGACCTGTGCTGTATGAGAGGATGTCACAGTACATCATCTATGCTTCAATAGATTTGTCTTTTCACAAAAACCTTGCTGGATGCCATAGCTGGTCAACGGCTGTGGTAGAATTCAAACCCAAGGCCACCTTTATTGAGAGTACCATGCTTCTGGTCCAGGTTGCAAGGTAGAAACAGTGCAGTCACTCTTGGGCGGGAGTTCAGAGATGCCTCTTGGCAAAGCGCCAGTCACATGATTGTGAGCTTGCAATTCCATTTGGCTTTGAGGGTGGAGGGTGTGGAAACTGGTGCTGGGCCTTTGGGGGAGAGGGGACATTTATCTATCCGTGAAATATAGGTGTGGCTGGGGAGAGTGACAGGGGGAGCAGGAAGGCTGAGGGGGTTGGCTCCTGCCCTCACCATCTGAGCTCCAGAGCCTCTGAAATAGAATCCACTTGCATTCAGGTCTCTAGGATTCTCTGTCCTTCTCACCGGGCCTCCCTCCTTCAAAGCTCCTCTCCCACTATTGATTCACCCGCCACCAAGGCCCCCGCAGGTAGTGAGCATTGCATTTCGGTGAGCCGCATCTGGGCTCATTAAGGAAGCCTGAGGCTCCCTGGGTCTCCAGAACTCTTGTCGTTATTTGCTGATTGGCCATGAGCTGGTACAACCACGGAGGAGACTGCCTTCTCATCTTCCCATCCCCATCATTTGCACTCCAAAGTGGAAAACAAGGCTGGTGTTGGTTGCCTAAATATTTATGGAATGTTGCCGGGGTCAGAGGACCAGGACAGTAAATGAAATTAAAGATTTACACTGTATACCCAACCTAAGAAGGTCTTGGTCTGTGGCTTGGTATAGATTGAAGAAAAGGATTTCTTTTTTCTTCTTCCAGGAAACTTTTTTTTGGGGGTAGATTTCTGAAGCTGAATGCATGAAATTTTAATCTATTGCTTCACCCCATTTCTTCCCAATGTGTTAGCTCAGAGTGAGGGTCTGTTGGTGTTTACATGCTCTTGGATGCACACTTGGGGATTTGGGGAAAACTGATACCTTCGTTTGGTTCTTATTCTTGTGGCTCCTGTGTGAAGTGGCGGGGGGAGGGGAACTGTCTTCTGTGGATGTCAGGGATCAAGAACAAGAGTCAGCCTGATAAGTCAGCTAGTGTTGATGCCACCACCATTTTGTACTGAGGAGCATGTTGGGGGAGCGGGCAGGACATTCTTTTTGAGACAGTCAGGTCTGACAAGAAGCAGACTGAACTGGGCCTTTAAAAGAACTTGAAGGTCAAGGTCAAGGAACTGGACTAAGGCTGGTGGGCTTCAGCTGGGGAGCTGTCCCCATTCCTGGTCCTGAAGAGGCAAAGGGCGCATATAGGTTGTACAGCAGTCGGTCTTTCCATCCTAGGTAGAAATGGGGGCAGAGGGAAGCCCCCAACAGCTCTGGCTCTCTTCCTACCGTCTGCTTTCCTGTTTGAAGTTTCCCCTGGCTGCAGGGTGGGAGGTCAAGGAGACGAAGGTGAGCACTGGAGTGGAAGGAGAGAGGGTCCCGCACACAGAAGCTGAGCTGTGGGTCTGTGATGGCATGTGTGTGGTTTATGAGGAAAGCAGTTCTGAGGAGAAAGAGCCCAGCAGGGAGGCAGTGACTCGTAAGTCTAGCCTGTCTTGGTCTGGGTACTTGAAACATAAAGATATCCTCTCCGGGGGTCACAGGGGAGAGCTTCTATATACCTAACCCCAGGGGACATTGATTGTGAACTGGGAGTACCTCTAGAAAAATGCAGCACCACTGGGTGGGGGCAGGAGCAGGTGCGTGCATGGAAAAGCCTATTGTCCAGGGGGGACATTAGCGGATCCTTTTACCCTGGTAGGGAAATGGCATACACACTCACGGCTGGGGGCACTGATGTCACCTAGCAGGTACCTCCAGTGCGTAGAACCCGACTCAGCACTTCCTGTCCACACCTCAGGAGTTACCACACTCGGAGGGCAGCTTCCTCTGTTCCCGAAGGACTTCCTGTGGAGGTGGCCAGCGCTGTTGAGTAGCCACCCAAATACCTCAGCCTGCAGTTTGTCTGGCTTTCTGTTCCTCTGCCACCACCAGAACTGCCTGACCCTGGTGCTGGGCTGGCTGAAGTGTCCCTTTGGGTTATCTTGAGAAGTTATCCCGGAGGGTTCTTGGGAGTGAAGAATTTTAAATGAGGGTATTTATCAGGGCTGAACATCAATAATAAATGCTGCATGATTTTTTTATTAGAGGAGCCATATCAGTGTGGCCGCTTCAACTTTCTAACTCTCCGGAAAGCGTGAAGTTGTGGTGCACTCTGTGTAGGAAAATGCCAGCTAATCAGATCCCATTCATATGCAAAACACTCGCTTAGCTGAGTTCATCAAAATTCAGTCTTTCTTAAAAAAATATTTATAGACTTTCCCTCCCTGCAAAAGACTGTGAGGAAGAGGGATAGTGGAAAATACAAATTGTTAATACTCTGAAAAGGAGGTCTTGTTATGAGTCCTGCTAACGCATTCCCCATTCTTTGAGAAAAATTTAAGTGGGTATTTGTACTCTCCGATTTCCCACTTCCCTTTGCTAAATTCTCTCCCTGTTCCAACTGCTTCTCAGAATCTTTCTCCTTTGTGGTCCTGACTTGTTCATCCCTTGATGATGGGATGCTTTCTGGGTGGGCAGCAGACTTCATGGGAGTCTTTGCTTCAACTTGTCTCCATTGTAGAGTCTGGAAAACTGAGGCTCAAAGGTACACTGGGCGCTGGCAGCTGGCAACGTGTCGGTCCTGAAGGAGTGGCATACTGCAATGGCTGTGATATCAGATCCCTGGGCCTTTGCTGGCTTCCCTGGGACCTTCTTCTTTTCAGCGAATGGGAACTGGGATTCAGGCTCCCATAACCCCCTTCTCTATCTAGATTTTCCCCTCTCTCTTATTCTCAGACACCTCAAGAATAGACTATCTCAGTTATGAGGAGGGAGAAAAAACACTTCCGATGCCCTGGAGACATTGCAGTGTGGGGCCAGGCACAAGTTGAGTATAGCCATGGGGAATATTGGTGACACTCAGGTTCTGGGCTGCTTCCTTTCTTGGGGAGGTCCTGGATTGACTTGTTTCTTGGGGAACTACACTGGCCAATGAAGGTTTCTGTGGGGGAGTTATTGAAGATATTGGGACTACAAATACAGTAGGGAGTGCTAGAGTATCTAATTAACCTGTAGAGAGCTAAAAATAGCTTCGCACCCCTTGCTGCCTCCCATGGTGGCGGATTCTTTGGAGAAACGTTGGGTAGGTTATTGTTGCCACTTTCCCATGGAACAGAAGCCTGGCAAGATGCCACGACCCTGGTTGAGGGCATCAGGCAAAGCTTTGGAGGTGACATGCCTGGGACTTAGTGGGCATTTGAGTCCTGGGATTACAGGTGTGTGCCCCCACCTCCTAGCTTCTGTAGCTAGCTAGTGTGGTTGCTTTGCTATTTTGATCTCCAGCGGCTTTAATAAATCCTGAACACTATATCTCCCCGAGAGGAGCTGTGGAGAAGGCTGTAAGACTGTAGCAGGTGCCAGGGTCTGTGTTCTGTTTGCCTGGTCATGCCCAGGACCCATGTCCCCTTGTACTGCTCCACCCCACAGCTAATGGAGGGTTTGGGAGAGGGGCATGTGCTTAAAAAGAACAGTGCATGGGTAGAGGGTAGCTCACAGCCTCTCGGGAGTCCCTGTGGTGAAGGGAACACATGAGAATCCGGTGGCCCAGCAGCTGCAGGTCAGGAGTTTGGTATCCATTTAGAAAATCCTGTGCTGTAGCTCTAGGCAGTGACAAACCTGCTTAGGAATTAAACTTCCAGGCTGGGAGTGACAGGGTCTGCTCTGGTCATGCTTCCGAGGCCACTCTGGGTCCTAAGGGTAGCTGAAGCAACAGGGCAATGCTCTCTGAGGCAGGCCCAGTTCTAAGTGCCTTGTAGTGTTTGCTCAGGGAGCCCTGTGCATCCCCGGGGCCATTGCAAGCTCATTTCGCTGGTGAGGAAATTAGACACTGAGAGCTTACTATCTCCCCCAAGGTCGCATAGCTAGCCATGTAGCAGTTGTGGACACTGACTTGGACAACCTGGCTCCTGGGTCCTAACTGTGCACCCCGCATTCTGCTACCACGGTGATTTGGAAGGACAGGGACTGATCACAATGGCCCCAGACTCTTCTAAAGGGTGGGACAGCATTGCTCAGGTTGAAGGCTTAGTTTAGATTGGGGGACACTGGAAGTGTGTGGCTGGAGAGATGGAGGGATCCAGGAGTGAGGAGCACTAGAGAGCTCATGGGCATGCTTCTTAGACTTTTAAGCAGGTTGTGTTGGGCAGTGAGGCCTGCTGTGGGTATAGACAGGCCGGCTACTCATCTGCTACTGGGCATGCCATTTACCCCTTCACCACTGTCCATGCTAGTTACCCCTATAGTGTCACCTTTGTTCAGGGCCTGTCTAGGCCTCCCTTGCTGACACAGTGATTAAATGTATTTCTATGTCTATCTATCTATCTATCTATCTATCTATCTATCTATCAATCTATCTATTTTTGGTCATTGACGAGGCCTCCTCATTCAGTTACAAGAAGCCCTAAAGGACAATGAATTAGTTGTCAGAGAGTCTGAGGGGAGTGGCGGGGCCTGAAGAGTACCCATATGCCTACTCCCTGGACATGTGTGGTCTTCTGGTGCCTTCAAGCTCTGTCTTGGACTGCAGCTTCAGGGGGTACCGTTGTTACTACTGGAACTGGGGAGCCAGGAGGTGACTTGCTGCTGGTGTTGCCTGAGTAGACCCATCTCCTGCATTCTTCAGATGGCACCGACACCTGGCTGCTCTAAGATTCCTAGCCAGGATGCCAGGTGGAATTAAGTGGCAGCAGGGCCAGGTGGGTGTTGATTGAGGCTGATTGCTGGGAGGCAGAGGCTTCAGGCTACACCAAGCTATTTCCAGCTGCTCCAATTGAATCCAAGAGGCTTAATCCCTCTAAGTGCCTTTGTGCTCTGATGCCTGGGGAGATGGGGGCAGGGCAGACAAGGCCAGAGCAAGGTCAGACTTCCTCTGATTCTTTACATTTCCAAGTCCTTCCGTTTAGCCACCTATATAATCACCCGGAACGCCCTTCATCCTCCTGCCTGCCCGCCTGTCCACCTGCCACTTACCTGTCCATCTACCCATCCATCCATTCTCCACACCTGCCCGTTCTTTCCTCCTCCCTTATCTCAAACTGTACACACATCCTACACTTTGCACATGCACATAGAGGCATGTAACATTCATCTATATATCCGCCCATCCACTTACCTATTCATCCATCCATCGGCTCTCCATTCATCTACCATCCATCTACTTACTATTCAACCACCCCCATCCATATAGCGCACATATTCATCCATCTACTCATATTTTTATCCATCCATCCATCTATCCATCCATTATATATCCATTCATCCATCTACCATCCACCATTATATATCCATCTACCATTCATTCACTCACTCCACTTATACATTCACTTCTCACTAATCCACCCTTCTAACCATCAATTCACCATCAATCCATCATTCATTCATTCATTCATTGTTCACTCATCCATTCACCATTCACCTAGCATTCATCTATCCCCCACCTATACACTAATCATCCATCCACCCATCCACCCATCCATCCATCCATCCACCCATCCACCCATCCATCCATCCATCCATCCATCCATCCATCCATCCATCCATCCACCCATCCATCCATCCATCCACCCATCCACCCATCCATCCATCCATCCATCCACCCATCCATCCATCCATCCATCCACCCATCCATCCATCCATCCACCCATCCACCCATCCACCCATCCATCCATCCATCCATCCATCCACCCATCCATCCATCCATCCATCCACCCATCCATCCATCATCCACCCATCCATCCATCCATCCATCCATCCACCCATCCATCCATCATCCACCCATCCATCCATCCACCCATCCATCCACCCACCCATCCATCCACCCATCCATCCATCCACCCATCCATCCACCCACCCATCCACCCACCCATCCATCCATCCACCCATCCATCCACCCACCCACCCACCCATCCATCCATCCATCCACCCATCCACCCATCCACCCACCCATCCACCCACCCATCCATCCATCCACCCATCCATCCATCCATCCACCCATCCATCCATCTATCCACCCATCCACCCATCCACTTACCCATCCATCCATCCATCCATCCATCCATCCACCCATCCACCCATCCACCCACCCACCCACCCATCCATCCATCCATCCACCCATCCACCCATCCATCCATCCACCCATCCATCCATCCATCCATCCACCCATCCACCCACTACCTATTCGTGCATCTACCACTCATTTATTCGCTACTCATCACCCACACACCATCTTCTCATCCATCCATTCTTCCACTATTCATCCAGTCATCCACCCACCACCATCTATCATCCACCATCCATGCATCATTCATTCACTCCCCAACTATTTATCCCCTCATCACATATCTACCCACCTATGCATCCATCCACCCTTCTACCATTCATCATTGATTTATCTGCTAGTCTACCACAATCTATCATCCACCAACTATCTATCCATCCATTCGTTCCCTACCTATCCACCCACTCACCACCCATCCACCCCTCTACCCATCCACCCATTCATTCATCTAACATCCACGTATCTATCAGTTACCCCATCGATCCTCCTGTGGTCATCATTCACCCCCTACCTTAGTCTTTATTTCTGTATCTCCTAGATGCTAGGCTCCATGCTGTTACAAGATCCAGGCTCGGACGAGGTCCTCCAGTGGCTCAGGGTAGCAGTGAAGTCAATGCACAGAGATCTTGTGACGGAAGGGAGGATGGTCATTGAAGAAGCCTTGGGTCTGCTTGGACCCCAGCTGGGTCTTGTGGATCAGGAAGAGAATTCGCAGCTGGGAGTTTGACTTGGTACCTTCCAGGGCTCAGGGCTCAGAGGGAGCTCTTAATGTGAGGGAGTCTGTGGGACAAGAAGTGGGTCAGTGGGGACAGGGATGAGGAAGGACCTGGAGAGTCAGGCTGTGTGTGTGTGTGTGTATGTGTGTGTGTGTGTGTGTGTGTCTTAGGTTGAGCTCTGGTCTAATGGAGCAGGGACTGCCTGAGGGTCTGAAGCAAGGAGGGGTTTGACAGTGAGGGGTGTGCCAGAGAGGTGAGGCTGGAGGCAGGGTGGAGCTGAAGACCCTCTTTCAGACCCTGTTTACCTCAGTGTGTAGCCCATAGCTTCTGTTACTGTTGATCCAGTGCTGACAGAGTGCTGTGAGTTGCCACCCTTTAATGCTGTGCCTAGGGTCCATGGCAGTGCCTATTATCTCCTCTATCCAAGAAGGAGAGAGAGAGAGAGAGAGAGAGAGAGAGAGAGAGAGAGAGAGAGAGAGAGAGAGAGAGAGAGAGAGAGAGAGAGAGCAGAGAGACTGCACATTAAATTGCTGGAGGCACTTCAGTTCTGGGTCATGAGGTTTGTTTTGTCAGCAAATGTAGGAGCCATTTTGGAACTTCAGGAGGGTCTGTCCTGACACTCTAAGAGGAAGGAGATGAACTTTTAGTGGATCTTTTAGCTCTTCTCTGTAACTCATATGCTTTAGCCTTCTTGCTCTCCATTTAGGGCAGGGAGCCTAGACACTCTTCATGTGGCCCCGACCCTGTATCTCCAGGCTACTTTCAGCTAGCCTTCCATGCAGAAATATATGCTCCTAGGAGAGTGCAAATTGCAGGGTGTGATATAGAGTCCTCACTGAATACAATTATGCTTAAACACTATAAATATTCATAATTCTCAGCAGTGAGTACTGCTTGCCTTAGTGTTATATCCTACTTTTAAAAACCACTCAAGAAGTCAACCATTTAAGGCAAAAAAAAAAAAAAGAAAGAAAGAAAAAAGCGCTGAGCATGCTCTGGGCTGCTGCCTTGGCTGGTGTCACAGCTGGAGAAATGCAGGTAGGGAATGGAGACATTTGGATCCCATTTGCTTCAACCACCTATCGGTCACCCAGTCATCTAGTTCTTGTCTGGTAGACCCAATGGAGTTGCCCTTTCATTTTCCCCTGACCCCCCCCATCTTTATACCAGGGTCCTGAGCTAGACTGCTCTTGCCCATCTGGACTGGATCCAAGGCATCGATTTCATTATTTCCTTCAATAAACATTCTCTGTATATCTAGCCTCTGGGGACCTTGAAGTGACTTCAGTACTGTCTGGTGGTTTGAATAGAAATGACCCCTGTAGACTCAGAGTAGCATATTAGGAGGTGTGGCCTTGCTGGAGTAGGTGTGGCCGTGTTGGATAAAGTGTGTCTCAGTTCACTTCCTGTTGCCTGTGGATCAAGATGTAGAACTCTCAGCTCTTTCTCTAGTAACGTGTCTGCCTGTAAACCACCATGCTTCCCACCATGAAGATAATGGACTAAACCTCTGAAACTGTGAGCCAGCCCCGATTAAATGTTTTTCTTTATGAGAGTTGCCATGGTCATGGTGTCTCTTCACAGCAATGGAAACCCTAAGAAACTGTCCCGCGGCTCCCAACAGTTCATTGTCTAGTGGTACAGACAGAGGGTGGCCATTAACCACTAAGGCTGCAGTCTGAGGTAATCCTTATTTTTTTTTTTGTGGGGAGGGGAGTGGGAAGATCCTAGGAGTCTCCCTGGAGGAGAGAACATTTGAATCAAATTTAGGAGGAAGAGGAAGGAGAAACAGGAAGCCATGGCTTGGGCATTGATATGCCAATAGGCAGTCCAGTCTTGATGGCTCGCTATCTAGATGGTGGAGGGAGTTGTACACTAAGTGAATTAGTTGTTGTCTCCTCAGGTGGAGTCAGGGTCCTGGGCATGAATGGAGATGTAAATACAGAGTGTGTATCATCTTTGAGAGTAATGGATGGGGCCTACCTTGGATCATCTCTCTTCCCAGTCAGCACATGGGAGTGAAACAACTTTCTGAGAAGGCAGCCAGAGAAGAGGTCATTAATCGCCTTCTTGATAGAACTTTTGCTTGGTAGGTGCTAGCACTTCGGCCCATTCAGCTATCCAGCAGCATCCATGGGTGCTATTGCGCCGTAGATAAATGCAGAACAGATGTGATTCTGTGGGACAGGAGTATGAAGGTGGGACTTGAGAGTGTAGGCATTCTGTGAGTCATAAGGTTATGGGGAGGGGATAAACCTAGAGTCCATTCTGAAGGAGCACACGCTGGAACAAGAGCGAGCAGGCAGACGTACTTGCTTTCAGGTGACTTGGAAAATCCGGTTTTCATTTGTCGGCCCTTGGTCTTCAAGTGGTGTTTCTTGACCTCTGTTGAGTTCCTTCTTAGGCTACATCTGCTGGTCTCTGCTCTTCACTTGCTGGTCTACAGTTTTCACCTGTTGCTTCCTGGTCTTTGCCTTCTGGTTCTTAATCTCTGTTTGCTTGTTTCTAGTCACTTGATTGTTCTTGGTCTTTTTATTTTTTTTTTATTTATTTTGCAGGGTGTCAGTGGTACACGCCTTTAATCCCAGCACTTGGGAAGCAGAGGCAGGTGGATCTTTGTGAGTTCGAGGTCAGCCTGGTCTACAGAGCAAGTTCCAGGACAGCCTCCAAAACAATACAGAGAAACCCTATCTCGAAAAAAGACCCCCCAAATTATTATTTTTTAGCTTTATGTGCATTTGTATTTTGCCTGCATGTATGTCTGCATGAAGATGTCAGATCCACTGCAACATGAATTTACAGATAGCTGTGAGCTGCCATGTGGCTGTTGGGAATTCAACCCAGATCCTCTGGAAGACCAGCCAGTGCTCTTAACCACTGAGCCATCTCTCCAGCCCTGATTGTACCTAGTCTTAATCTCCTGGTTTCTAGCCTTTACCTACTGGCCTTTCATCTTCACCTATTGGTTGCTGGTCCCTGCTCTTTGTCTATGCCATTAGGAGAGTGGGGGAGTAAAGGTGGAGTTGGATTTACTTGGGTTGAACTCAATTTCCATTGAGTTCTTGTGTGACCTTGAACAAGTGGCCTCCTTCACTTAGTGTCTTCATCTGAACATGGAGTCATGAAATAATCTTTATTTTACAATTGCCGAGTGAGTCAAAGAGGAAAGGAAGGAAATTGCATGGCACAGGGCAGTGTGACCAGTAAGTTAGATCCCTCTCTGGGCTGTCTTGCTCACGATATCACTGTGTTCTTGTCCGTGGATTCCTGAACTGGAGAACAGCCACAAATTCGGATAAGAATTGAACAGTTGTTTGGGATGTGGGAAGGGGAAGCACCTGTCTAAGGGGTGGAGCTAAGTTGCTAAACATGGTGGTGGAGCTTATTGTAGTCAGGGAAGACAGGGCAGAGGAAACCTAGAGTTCTAGCCTGTATCTCCAGAACCATTCCCCACACTCCGACAAGTCCCGCTGTCCTGGCGTGACTAGTATAGCTTCTGTACCCCATGGGAACTCCTCCAAAGTAGCTGTGTGCACATGGAGCGCATCCTTATGTAAGTGGTGTACACTTGGAGAGCCTTTGGGGGCCACATCCTCCCTGCTCTTCCCATTTCACTTCTGTTGCGGGTCCGGCAGCTGTCTTTCTACCACTGTTCACTTATTTGTCTCTCCCCAGGGAAGGCATTGGTATGGGGGGGTGCTGCACCCCTATAGCCAGGCTGAGTCTCTCTCTAGGGAAGGCATGGTATGGGGGGGTGCTGCATTCCTACAGCCAGGCTGAGTCTCTCTCTAGGGAGGGCATTGGTATGGGGGGGTGCTGCGCCCCTACAGCCAGGCTGAGTCTCTCCAGGGAGGGCATTGGTATGGGGGTGCTACACCCCTATAGCCAGGCTGAGTCTCTCCTCAGGGAAAGCATTGGTATGGGGGGGTGCTGCGCCCCTATAGCCAGGCTGAGTCTCCCCAGGGAAGGCATTGGTATGGGGGGTTGCACTCCTTCAGCCAGGCTGAGGCTGCGGCTGCGGCAGGGTACCAATTGCACCTGCTGCCCCTTCCAGCCTCAGCCGTTTTGTGTGGGGTGTCTTTCCAGAGGTAAAGCGTCTCTTGAGGGAATGCTAGTCACAACGATCAAGGTGTGGGGGACTTGGGTGTCTCAGTGCCTCCCCGCCCTGATTTGGCATACGGTCTGCCTTCTAGAAGCAACTGCCTGGTGGCATGCCTATCCCAGGCCTGGCTCTGGGCAGGAGCGTACAGCCTGTAACCTCAGCTGTGCTTGCCCTAGGGCATTAGAAGTGGCCGGAGCATTGGTCCACCAGGTGATGGTGCTAATTTGATTGTGCACCTGGCACTCTTCTCTCCTGTCTGGCTGTGGACCTGATGCTTTGGTAGTGACCAAAGGCTGTTTGCCGCTGTCTAGCTGGGCTCCAGGGAAGGGCCCAGGCCATGTCACCTGTCACTGTGTCACCTGGGAGTTTGTGACATGCCTTTGTCTGTTCTGATGTCGTGTACCCTCTGTGGGATGTGCTCAATTCTAGTGACAGGCCTCTGAACTCAGCGTCCTAGAGATCCGATACTCTGCATCACAGGCCACCTCTCTGACGTTCAGCGTCTTTCACAGTCCTTACCCTTTAACTAGATGCCAGGCGTGCTGGCGTGCTTGGTCCCCTCGTGTCAGCTTGGCCCGAGAACACTTTGGTGGGAGCAGAGCAGGGTGAAGGCTCTGCTTTTCCTTCCACCCCGACTCATTCCCCACAACTGCCTGATCCCTGGACACTCAGATCCCCCCAAGCCTCTGCACACAGCTCAGATATTGACCGAAACCTGAAGAGCCGTCTTGCTCATTTCAGGTCTGGGCTGCCCTCCCTGGCTTCTGTTCCCTGGGTCCACAGCTTGGTCTGAGGCAGAAAGCTGTGCTTGGGGGCCAGCCTGAGCCTGCGTTCCTGCTTGCTAACCTCTATTAGCCACAGGGAGGTTCAGACCTGGCAAAGGACCTCACATTGCTAAGTTTCAATGGCAGCCTCTACAAACGGAGGAGCTTTGGAAGGTGCTAGAAATCAAATGTAAACTGGGCAAGGGCTTCCGACCCAGTCCTTTTGGGTTTGTGGTGAAGCCTGGGTTTCGGACCTCGGCCCTTCCCTCTTCCTTCTGTGCCTCTGCCAGACTGACACCTCCCTGCTGCCTACCCCCTGCAGTCTGCCCTCCATGTCAGGGGTCAGGGGAGGGGGCAAGAGGAGTCAGCCTCGTTGTTGCTTCTTCCTGCAGCCACCTTTCCAAAGAAAGCTCTGGGCATGTCCTCTGCTGAGGAACCTTTAAAGCTCCCCGCAGTGGCTTCCTGGAACCAAAAAACCAAGGCCTCAGCTAAGCATTCAAACACTTTCCCCTGGAGCCCGTCTGCCCTCCGCCTAACAGCGTGGACTCACCACTCACCCTTCTGTGAGTGTCCATTCCTTGCAGATCTGCGGACGCCTCTGCTCATCCCAGCTGCTAGCCTGGCTTGTCCCCTTCTCTGCTAGCGTCTCCACTGCTGTCCTCTGAGAGCCCCCCATGCCACCTCTGGCTGTGTGACTCCTACCCCCTTCCAGTGTTGAATCTGGGCCCAGGCTCCCGGGATCCAGTGTCCTCTAGACGGCTTGTAGGGTGTGGACTGATTTCCAGCATAAGCCCTAGACTGGGAACACAGGAAGTGACTGGAGAGATTCCCTTTGGGCTCCAGGGGGCAGTTTGATCACTTGCTGAGAAAGAAATGTTTCCCAGTTTGTCTTCTTAGGGCAAGAGAGGTGTTGATGGGAAAAATCAAGCCTCGCTGGTGGCTAGGTTTCTCTTAAGTTCCTCTCTCGGGCCGAGAATTTCGTTGTATTGTTTTTCAATTTTTCCCTGAGCATCTGCTACTGTGAAAATTTTCATTATCACTGGCAAAGATCCCCTCTCAGCCCTGCTGGCTGTAGGAGAGTTCTGAGTTCTCTCCCCATCTGCTCCAAAGCACCTGGAGGCTAAGGTGGGTAATGTCCCGGGCCAGCTGGGCTCTTTCTCAGAAGATCTGAGCGCTGGGGCCCAGCGGGCAGCGGCCTGCTCAGGGATGCTTTGGCTGGGCCCAAGTCACGAAGGCTCCGCTGCTGCTTCCCTGGTGTGGGGGGGCCAGGCCAGGGAAGCTGCTATGGAATTTGGCCAGAGACCCTTGCTTCTGCTGGTATTCCTGTTAGGCAGCCACGTTGACGTGGCAGGCGCACGGACTCTCTCACTGAGGACCGGCTCCGTGACCCCGTTGCCACCACGGCAGGTGGGTTAACGAACTGTGTGGAAGCAAGGCTGGAGCTGCGAGCCAGGTGTCAGCCCCTCACCCTCCGCCTTCGTTGCGGCACCTGGGTACCCTGCTTAGAAAAAGCCGCGATGAGCAGAGGAAGGTTGCGGACCTTCTGTCTTGCTAACCATTGGTCCAGACTTGGTTCTGGCTGGTTTTGGTCTCCCTTGCTTTTAAACATGCCCGGGGCACCTTCATCGGTGACTGATGCTCACACTCTGCCCTTCGGGTAATGAGACCACACTCATGGTGCTGAGACATTCCTGGCGTTAACCCATGCGATTCTCGGCACCAACATAGCCTGTGCTGAGGTCAGGAATGGAGCCATATGCAGCACGAGGCAGAAACTCAGAGCACAGGTAGTGCGGACACCAGAGCTGGAGTATTGCCCCTAGGCTGCCCCAGCTGTTTACGAGGGCGAGGGAAGCGTCTTTCTTTATGCTCCAACTTTTCCGAGGTTATACGGCAGCCTGCCTCTTTCATGTGTGTGTTGCCGGGTGCCCGTTGCATCAGCGCTTGACGAGTGAAAGACTAAATGAATAATGGACACTTCCCAAGGGGGAAGTACTTTAGAATTTACACAGGATACATTTGTGCCCTAGGCTGTCATCTCAGTGCTGCTGCATGGTGCTTGGGCTGTGATTACCATGCGTGCGGCCCTCCCTGGTTACAGCGGAAAGCTTACAAGCCTAAGGTTCAGGCTAGAGGAGGAGCCAGCCTGGGCTGAGGGCTACCTAGTGCAGAGCCGGGATGGTCAAATCTCTATTTTTGTTCTGCCAAGGCTGCCCCTAGAAGAGCCTCTGTGGGCTGGCGGATGGAGCTGGTGTGCAATAGACACTTCAGCAATCCCATCTACCATCTGTTCCCAGTCCCCAGAGTAAGGGCTTTGGCCAGCAAATGCAAACACAGCTCGCTTGGACTTGTCTAGGCAGGGTGACTTGGAGTGGTGGGGACAGTGTTTCTGCTTTGCTCGCTCTCAGCTCTCTTCCCTCCTGTCTTCATTTAGCCGGGTGATGTGGGGGAGGGGAGCGCCACCAGGAAGAGTGAAGGCAGCCTGGGACTCCCTTGCCACTCTTCTCCCTGGCCTTGGCTGCAATGTACAGGGGATGTGGGGACTTGATGGCAGCCAAGAGGAGAGGAGCAGAAGGCTGGCAAGAG